ACATGGGTGCTTGTCGACCGAGCAGCGATCAAGGGAAGACAGATCCTCTCGGGCAAGTGGGTCTTCTGCGTGAAAAGCGCTGGGTCGTGCGCGGCAATGACCAGTGTGACAGTACTGAAATCGACCAAACCTTTGCCCCGGTCAGTCGCCACACTCCTGTGTGGATTCTGCCCGCCATTGCAGTAGCAAAGTACCTGCCGCTCTGCCAAATTGGCGCGAAGAACTCATTGTTGTATGCATTAGTGGATGCGGTGATTTTTGTGAAGCAGCCGCATACGTACGAAGAGGGAGATTCACGCGTATGGTAGCTTATGAAGTCCCTTGACAGGATTTAACAGACACTAAGGTTCTGGCAGTAGAAACCAGCATAAAATCCTATTGGAAATAACATTCACGCAGCTGTCGCATGGCCCCGGGGTGCACTGCTTGCATTTTTGCGGCGATGACATCCTGCTCACGGAATACGACGATTTGCTCTACACAGGTTCGAGAAACACGCTGATCAACCAGTTCAAGAAGAATCTCGCGATACGCGTCGAGATTACAACGAACCACGATGTGGCGCAGTTCCTGGGACTCAATGTCTCCTATGCTCCTGAAGCTATTCACCTCTCAGCTGCTAAGTATGCTGAAACACTTGAGAAGCGGTTCAACATCCCTCTCGCACCACTCTCAACTCCCTACCGCATGCATGGATTGAGCTACAAGCCTGACAACAAAGCCATATCCCCTGCTGGACTTCACACCTACCCAAAGCAGCTAGGATGCCTGCTCTTTGCTTCAGTGACCTGCAGACCTCTCTTACATCGCGATCCAGCTGGCTCAGTACTCACGCAAATTAACGACTCAAAATCTCTTGGATCTTCAACGCGCTCTGCAATTCTTCATCTAAGTGCCCAACATTTGGGTCTGCCACTCCACAATCACAACTCCTTCATTCAACCTTATCGGCTATATGGATGCCAATCACGCCACTGATCCCGAGATTTGACGGTCCAGAACCAGGTTTTTGTTCTGGCTCGGTCCCATCTCACGGAACTTACAGAAGCAGGAACTGGTTGCCTCGTCATTGGCGGAAGCAGAGTTCATGTTTGCAACAGCAGCAGTTTGTGAAGGGCTCTAGCTGCAAGAACTCCTACAAGAGGTGAAAATCCCAGCTTCGACAACAACCAAAGCGGAATTAGGATTGCGAACAAGCCGGGATTCACCAACCGCACCATAACACACCGTCGTGCAGTATTTCTTCGTGAAGAACGAAGTCGACAAGGCCAAGGTTGACCTAACATATTGCCCGACCAGTGATATGGCAGCTGACTGCCTCACGACGCAACTGCCTCGTCAGCAGTATCAGCACTTTTCCGAACTAAGAGGAGAGTGCTAAAATTATAGGCAACGGAATTGTGAACTATGAAAAGGGAGGGATACAAGTACCAACCCTAAAAATGAGTTGTACCCTATACAGGCTACGCTACTACAGCCTACAACAACTAATATATAGTTTGAAACAACCCCACTGGCGAAAGGGGGATAGCAAGAACAACATATTGTCAGAAGACCAGTCAAGAGAAGAAACAAAACAAAGCTATGGTGGATCTCAAGATCGCCACACAGTCCGAGCACAAGCACGTGACCACAAGGCGAGTTGTCATGCAATGTTATAACAGCAATTGTAGCACAATTATCACAAGCTAGCAGGTGTAAATATGCAGGTATATACATATAGCATTGTACAACAAATGCAAGGCAAGATTAAGAGACAAATAAAGTACGGCAGAGTAGGCACAAGGCCAAGTGCGGTACAGAAACACTAATAATCACCTGAACCATGGGCTTTGGTGAAGATATCAGCAGAGTTGGCCCCTGAGCCAAGTAAGAAAGATGAAGCTGACCACGCTCCTACAACTTTTGCACGAGAAAGTAACGAAGGGCAATATGTTTAGTTCTGTGCTCAAGTCTCTGCTCCCGACACAAGGAAATCATGGCCATGTTGTCAACGTACAGAAATAAAGGAGAACGAGGATGCTCACCCAAGTCGATTAGCAAGTAGGTCAGCCAACATAACTCCTCGCAACCATGGCTCCAGCATAGATCTCGCCCTCACAGCTGGAGCTAAGCACAGAAGACAGGCGAGTGGACATCCACGAGACAGAGCCTGCGCAGAGACAGAAAGTGTAGCCCCGTGTAGACCTGTGGGTCCCTTGGACGTAGGCCCACGAAGCATCTAAGTGCCTAGTGAGCACAACTGAGCCCTGTCCCCCAAGCACAAGCCCCATGCCTGATGTACTGGCCAAGTAACGTAGTACCCTCTGCGCAGCTTTGAAGTGCTCGGTGAGATGTCTCCCAGGCGCAACGTACTCCGCCAGGATGCTGAGTGTACGTCATCAGGTACATGAAGCAACCCACAAGCTCTGGATACGGACCACTCGGCTCCACAGACCCGTCCAAAGGTGGAGCTAAATGCGAGTGGCCCATAGGCAGAGGAGTTGACTGAGGCGAGGAGAACTGAAAGAAGAAATGCTAAAGAACCTGCCGCACCATGTGTGACTAATTCAGAATGATGGTGCCCGCTTCTCTGTCCCGGGTGATCTGCGGGCCAAGATAGTTCCGCAGCTCACCCAGGTTAGTGCAAGTGTGTCTCTTCTGCAGCTCAGCCTTCACATGGGCCAGTGCCTCAGTGTCAACACTAGCAAAGACCAAGTCGTCGACGTACACGAGGATGTAGAACGGCGGCAGAGAAGGGTCGGTGCGCAGAAACAGCGACTAGTCAGCAGTAGAATAAGCAAGCCTAAGAGCCGCGTCCTCCTTCGAGTGCCGTGCCACTCGCGGGGCGCCTGGTGGAGACCGTAGCTATCTGCCGGAGGATCCTCTAGGTACCCTCAGGAAACAACCCAGTGAACCCAGGTGAGCGGCGCGGCCTAATCTCCTCGTTAAGGCTGTCCTGCAAGAAAACTGTGGAGAAGTCAAGCGAGTGGAGCTCGTAGTCACGTTGTGCTGCAATGTGCAGTAACACCCGAAGATTCATTTTCGAGGGGGAGAAGGTCTGGAAGAAGTCAAACCCATGTTGCTGACTGAAGTCTTGTGCAACGTAACGCGCCTTGAGGTTAGGCGGAGAACCCAGCGGCCGCTTCACCCGGAAAATCCGCATGTCATCAACAATGTTCGCACAAGGAGGGGGAATTGCATCGACGTAAGTGCCTGTCAACTTCCAGGATGCAATATTTGCGTCCGCGGCTGCCTGCCACTGAGAGGATTACTGATCCGTGATCGCCTCTGCGTAAGAGCACGAGGTCGGGATGTCCGTGCATCCGGGTCTCTCTCAGGGGCAAGCAGCATGGCAGCGAGATGATGTACAACTGCCGCGAAGCACTCTAGCTCAAACTGTCTGTCCTCAAGGACGTCACAGCCAAGGGCAAGCTCACCCCCGACGGACGGAGGACAGACAGAGTAAAAAACACGACTCGCGAGGTAGTCAAGGCGGCAACTAACAGCAAAGTCAACGAGCTCAGTGACTAAGGGAGATGCATCAGCAGACGAAAAAGTAGGGTCCGTCACAAGTGTGGCGAAGCAACGAGTGACAGTGGGACTGCCAGCACTAGCACAATCAGACACAGAACGTCAAGAAGGGAGGACGAGGGAGGTAACGGTAGGACAATACGCTGTGGAACAGAGGAAGGAAGAAGTGTCATCATGTGAGTGTCGGGTACAAGCGGAGGGCGAACACGGTGAGCACAGGGAGTATGAGCAAATTGTGAGGCTGGATGAGATGCAGGCTCTTAACACTCAGTCAAGGAGTCTGCCAACCGAGTGTAACGAAAAGGGAACAGGCAGCTTGGAGTCAGGCAGTAACTGTGTCTGCTCAGGTGGCTGCGTCAAGTGAGGTAGCTGCGTCTTGCTCGTGTTGGTTACTCACGCACCCGTCCCTCCTCTTTATAGGTTAGGTCTTACTGCCGTACCTATTGCCGTGCATACTGCCGTACCTACTACCCCCACACTACCCCACGCCCGCTCTGCGCCCTGCCGCCCCTCACGCGCTGCCTTTCGCGCACCTCGCGCTGCTGCGCGCGCCCCCTATTCCCACGCGCATGTTGCCTCACATTCGCACGCGCCCACTGCCCCACACTACCCCGCGCTGCCGTGTGCACCTCGCGCAGCCATTCGCGCTACCCCACGCACGCCACCGTCGCTCCCGCCTACGCACTGCCACTGCCCGGGCACCGCTGCTGCCTGCACGTCGCCGCTGCTCGCGTGCCGCCCCTGCTCCATGCGCTCATAACCCCCAGTCGAACGCGCCTGTAATTCCCCCTCTAGGATCAATCGGGGATCTCTCAGTGAAGGTCTACTGACACCCCTCCACACTGGGAGGCCAAGGACTTGTTACAACGACAACGGCCTGCATGTGCATTCACCTGGATTCAAACCCAACACTGCTCTGATACCATGTTAAAAACATAGGCAACGAAATGATGAATTATGAAAAGAGAGGTATAAGTACCAACCTTAAAATAAATTGTACCCTATACATGCTACCCCACTACAGCCTACAACAACTAATATATAGTTTGACGAAGGGAGGGAGGGAGTGAGGAAACCATAACGGAAGCAGGAAAACAATGGCATGTTAGGACTAAAGTGAGCCAAGTCTCCAATTATTCACTGCCAACAACGCAGCCTTCGAAGCGTGGAGTCTCAAGAGTAATTTAGAGCGTGTAGCGCAGCGTGTCTTGAGAGGCTTCTGCCAGCGCCTGTGACACCACAACCACCTTTAACTCCAGGTCAGCAGCTCTCGGGACCTCTCCATGTGCAGGCTTTAGAGTGGTTAAGAAGGAGGTGTCGATTTTGCTGGGGAATTCCCTCTTGACCTCGCACACGTGCACACTAGGCCTGGGCCGCGCCCACGTGCAGTCGATAGGAACGTGGACGGTTTGTTGGGTACGAAGGTAATCAACGGAGATCTTTGCTGCTGCCATCAGGTCCTCGGCGTGGATGAGGACGATGCTCACATGCATCATGCTCTTGCCCTTCCTGCACGCCATGCACGTGGCAGGCACGTGGCAGGCACGTGGCAGGCACGTGGGAGGCAGGTGGGAGGCAGGTGGCAGGCAGGTGGGAGGCAGGTGGGAGGCAGGTGGGAGGCAGGTGGCAGGCAGGTGGGAGGCAGGTGGGAGGCAGGTGGGAGGCAGGTGGGAGGCAGGTGGCAAGGAAAGGGGGATTAGTGGGGTCAAGGAGGGCAGTGGGGTTGAGATCCGTGTGAGGGGCGGATGGAGAAATTACAGGTAAATGGGTATCGAGGCCTTTCACTGAAGGTCGCACATTGCAAGGGGCTTACTTATTGGAGATGGCAACCGTTGCTCCTCCCTTGAGCTGCTCTCCGTTGATGATAGCCTGCAACCTTCCGGCAGTTGGAACTCCTCTCACCAAATCGTTGTGACCTGCAGCAAAACGAACCAGAAGAAAGTTCACAAGGGCCATTTAACCGTTCATGCGAGCGAAAGAGGTGAGCTGGAAAAATGGGGTCTTTTTCAGGAGCCGAAAGAGGTGAGACGTGGGAAACTGGAATCCAGGAACCGGGTTACCACGGTGGGGCGAATCAACGTACCGAACACTTGCCCCATTGCCCAATGCGGTGGTGCCTTGGTGAGGTTCGCATTGCTCGATTGCCCCCCCCGAGGATTGTGCGCCTCCGGGTAAGTGAAAGTCAGCGAGTAGGAATCGACGTGAGCCCCCACGCCAGCCGTGTATCCGATAGCGCTGATCTCGGCCTGGTTGAACTGGGTCTGGCCGAAGCAGTCCCACACGCTCGGAGCAAGTTTGGAGCACTGCAAGTTCTCTCCGAGCGTAGCCAGCGGGATGTTAGAGTCCGTCTCAGTCCGAGCGTTGAGCCTCACTTGCCACGGCGGTCTGACCAAGCCCGCGACGGTCAGGCGGAACTGCGTGGGCTTGGTCGCAGCACTGGCAAGGTTGGCAGGGAGATTGGCGGGACGAAGCAGAGCAGGTGGATTTGTATAATGAGCGCAACAGACTGTATGATACGACATATATATCGGCGGACCTTGCTTTGAGCTGGAAGGCCAAAGCAGGTTGAGGCAATTGAGGATGAGGGGAAACGGGCAGGAGCAATGAGGGCTGGAGCAGGAGGGGCACGGAAGGCAGGGAAGACGGATTTGCTTCGCCTGCTCGCCCACACGCTCAGTCCTCCCACACACGGCTTGCGACACGCCGTGTTCATGCTGTGCTCACAAGACAAAAACGCCAACTCCCAAACAGACCACGAAATTAAATCTGAATCCCCACCGACTGTAGGTTGGATTCAATTCGAGTAGAGCAGGAGCAAGGCTTACAGGAGGGGGACGGCGAGGCTGAACTTTGCTCTCACGAGTCCATTCCAAAAGTCAGCGCTGTACAGCCCTGCATTGGCGAGCCATCACCCGCCGCGACGCGACGGCAAGGAGAAAGGGAGGAGGCAAGAAGATGAGCCGTCTCGCGTCACGGATTACGATAGCTCTCACAAAACGCGACAGATAGCATCACATCACGTTTCAAGATTTATCACGAATATCTACCTTAAACTCAGACTCGGGCCGGAATTTCAGGTTAAGCAAGCAGGGCGAGAAGAGCGCAGCGAGGAGCGAGGAGAGCGAAAGGGAAGGGATGGAGGCACTGACTCGGGGCGGGCGGGGGCGGCGGAAAGAGCTTGGGGAGGAGGGCCTTGACGAACTTGAGACCCGCTTTCACGGCGCGCTGCTTCGCCACCTCCGCGCTTAGCGCGTTCACCGCGCGCTGCATGGCCGTCTCCACCTTCAGCGCTGTCGCGGCGGCGCGCTGCTTGGCCGCGTTGACGCTTAGCGCCTCGGCTCCGGGAACCGCGGAGGAGACCAGCACGCCTGCAGCCGACCACAAGAGCGAAGAGAGGCCATTAGGAATGGAATGAATGTGAGCGGGTATGACAGCCCAGCGATTGAGGAGGGAGGCATGGGTTGATGAGAAGGCGTACCGGCGACGATGAGGAGGCACGTGAGAACACGGGGCAGAGCCATTGCGGGTGTTTCTCAAGTCGTTGCTGAGAAACCCCAGACAGCGATACCTCTGATGTGAAGGAAACCCGCCGCTCTAAATGAGTTTGCGGTTCCAACAGGAGTAGGTCTTGGTAATGGGAGAATCAGGGAAGGGAAGGGCTAATGATGAGAAAACGATGCGGCGCTGGTGGTAATGAACGATTCGCGGATGAGAAGGCTTGCGTCGAAGGAAGGAAGTGAACGCTCAGCGCTCGGCCGCATTGTGTGAGGTGAGCGCGGAACCCGGGCAACGTTCGCATAATAATGCGAATATTCGGATGATTCGGCGCCTGACTCGCCTCGCCGACCATCGCCGAAGGGCAATAATGCAAATGATTTAAACTGAAACAATAGAGGCATTGTGCGTTCAGTTATTCAAGAAACGAAGCAGCTCGTTTCTATCCAATCGATAAGACGTTCGCGTCTCGGCTGCGCCAATGAAACCCATGAGTCGGTAGGTAGTCTCTTTTCGCGTTCCAGAATGGTGAAAGCTAGGAGGGAAGTACTGACAGTACAGCATCAAGGCACCAATAACTCATTTGACGGGGACGTCACGCTCCGTCAACAGCTGACAGTCAGTTTGTCTCCAACTGAATAATTCGGGTTTTTATACGGGCCGTTACAAACTGTTTCGTAGTTATCACGAGCAGTTACATGTTCCGCCAAATCTATCATGAACGGTCACATGTTCCGCCAAATCTATCATGAACGGTCACATGTTCCGCCAAATCTATCACGAACCATCACACGGGTATCACCCGCCGTCACTCAAAGGCACTAAATTCTATCACGGGTAGTCACACTCGAAATTTTTACTATCACAGATGAACCCTCTCATCATTTCATTGACTCGCCTTGTAACATTGTACAGATTTAGGGACTATATTTCGGGTTGCTAGTTTTTGTCCTGTATACGCGACCATTTTGGGTGCAAAGATACATGGTTACGTTCGAATCGACGTAACATACTTTAGTTCTTAAAAACGTATGAATAAGTTTCTAGAGTTCACAATTAATTGAATCTGCCTAAATGTTTATCAAGATGTGTATACGCATCTTGATGTGAATGGCATGAGAACATTCCAAGTTTTTTTTTTTTGCATCTTGATAAACATTTAGGCAGATTCAATGAACTGTGAACTCTATAAATATATGTATATATATACATGATATATATGTATGCGTTCAAATTCATTCAAACAATTTTTTGAACTGTAAGGAATTAGAATTCCTTACTGTAGTCAGTTATTAGCGAGTACATCCCGAAGGTCACGCGACGAACCTGCTCGGCCTATTTCGTCGGCCGAACCACTCCCGAGTCGGCCTCCGCTCCAATCGCATCCGTCACCGAGCCATCCTCGCCCAACCTCCCCGCCTTGCTAGGACTTCCCCTATTTAGGCCTCGTCACTTCCATTGTATCGTCATTCTGTAATTCTCATTCTCGATATTCGTTTTACTGCGCACTCTGCAAGTTCATTCATAACAAGAACTAACGTGTGTTACGTCGATTCGAACGTAACCAGGTATCTTCGCACCCAAAATTGTCGCGTATACACGACTAAAACCAGCAACCCGAAATATAGTCCCTAAATCTGTACTGTGTTACAGAGCGGGTCAACGAAATGATGAGAGGGTTCATCTGTGATAGCAAAGTTTCGAGTGTGACTACCCGTGATAGAATTTAGTGCCTTTGAGTGACGGCGGGTGATACCCGTGTGATGGTTCGTGATAGATTTGGCGGAACATGTGACCGTTCATGATAGATTTGGTGGAACATGTGACTGCTCGTGATAAATACGAAATGTTTTGTGACGGCCCGTATAAAAACCCGAATAATTCAGCCTCAGAAAATATTTTTTTCTGGCTCGCCGCAAATGATGGTTGGCAGTAACCTGTTCAATGTTTCGCCGATGTAATTTTCCTGCTGGCCGAACCTGCTTTTCTGAACGACTCTGCGAATTCTGACGACGGTTCTCGCAGATAAAGTCTCCAGAGAGTGGTAACGCAGGACTACCTTTTCGCACATGATTTTTCTGCCCGGAAACCGATTTAAACTGCATTATTGCTGACCAAAAACGGCCGACAGAGCTGACGGCTATTGAAGTGACATTATGGGTGGTGATATCAAATATCGTTCAAAACCGTTTTCCACCACATGGGAAACTAATTCCAATCCATTCTTTCCTCTACCCACGCGTGATGTGATTTTCAAAGAGCGCGCCTCGAACACCAATAATGCAGTGCTTGAATTCCAACCTATCATATCCCAAACCCCCTCCCCCTCCTCCCCTCCCTCTCCCCGCCCAGCCTTATCGAATGTCAACCCTCTGCACCATACATCAACCCACAGTGAGCCTCCGTATACTGAATTCCTCAACCACGCCAATCTTCTCTATACCTTTCCAGAGTTTCTAGTACATAACGATCCTATTTTCAGATCATTCCTTCACATCTCACGTTCCACCTCTTGACCAGGAATCCCGCTCTGCTCATTCTCGCTCCTAGTGGCCAATTTTCTCCAGACCAGAGCATCTTCTGCTACTTCTTGCCACCTCCACTGTCCGATCGCGGCATTGGAGTTCAAAAGTCTCGTCATGGCCCGCCTCGCACTCCCGCAGTGGCTCGTATCCTGTCTTATGTGCCTGTCAGGTACGAACCTTCGAGGCGCAAAATCAGAAACGGCAACTCTATTTCCGCCGGCAATGAAAGCTTCTGCCATGTTACTATGCATCCGCACTTACACGTATCACGCTGAAAAAAACACAATGCTGGTTGACGATTCACGTCGCTTATCTTGTATTACTCGATACTACACTTGGCTGTGATTTGCGCAGGCATCGCGGTTCTCCTGGCGCATGTCACCGTATCGTCAGCGGTCGAGGCGACGGACGCGGATATCAACAAATCTACTCTCCAAACTTCTCCGCCCGGCTCCTGTAAGATAATCGACGCCACACTCCATTTCACCTCGACCAAGTTGCCGGTTTATTCCCACGCAGTTCTGGAAAGCAATTCACATTAGGCATCACGCATCCGCGCTCTAAGTCAAACCCCATACCCTCACTCGCTCTCGCTTTGCGCTCGTCTACCCGACTCCAGCCTGGAAAGAATGAGCTTTATGCGTCGACCGACATAGGCCTTTCCTTTTCTTTATATTCTCATTTGCCTTCTTGTAATCACAAACCACCCAACCTCTGCACCCCAGTCTAAATTTGGATTGTGAGGTATAATCCCGTCTTATCCCAGGTTGTTAGGTCCTGGACCGCATCCGTGGGCAAAATTACTCTTATGGTATATCCTATTCGTCATGATAAAAAAACATCATATAATTAGTACTGAAAGAGAAAGTTTCCCCTTGGTTTCCGAAACAGAACTTTGTGCGAAAAACTGTTTTTTTTAATAATTGTGTGTCACGATTACCTGTCCCTTCACTTCCAGTGGCCAATGACTGTACTCATTCTTTCACTTCTGTTTTGATCCTTGTCAGCCTACTACATTGCTCAGCCGACGTCGGACGAATCTCAGGGGACCATCATCGTGCAAATCCCTGCCGAGTAAGGCTTTCCCAATCGGCATTGCAAACTATGTGGGCCTCGATCATGCGAATCGTAATGCATCATGTGGGCATTCGCTGCGTCTAAAATGGCACCCTCGTTTTGACCCAGTGTGTAGCGAGGGCGCCAACAACCTTCGGTTCAACATGTCGCGTTCCCACTTTTGCGTTACTAGCTTTCTCTGTGTAACGAGACTCTTCAGCTCTCCTCGTCCCCTGACTGATCACGACCCACTGCTGCTAGCGCCTGAACCCTCCTCTCTCCCACCATCCCCTTCCTCTTTCTAACACCTCTGCGTTTCCACAGCCCTAAAAATTCCCCCGCTATTGTCCGGGTAATCATGGCGGGCACCCACGACCCGCCCACGAAGGTCACCCTGTCGCTGCCTGCAGGAGGCATGGACATGGCCTTGGAACAGGGTCAGTGGAAGCTGCTGGCTCCGGGGGTGTGGGATCAGACCCGCCCGGTTGTCTGGTCCGCCGGGGTTGATGACGTGAGCGGGCAAGAGGTGACGGTGGAGCACCATGGCACGGAAAGCGTCGTTGTCTCAGCTTCTGGCACCTTATCTCCGATCAGTGCTGTTGATTCTGGTACGGATGCATATATGCTCTCTGAGTCTGCTCTGTAGCATGTGCGTTGTGCAGCGGGTCTTAGTAATGAATGGCATGTGAGGGTTGCAGTGTTGTGGCAAGGGCTAACACACGCTGAACCGGTATGCACCGCACTGCGGCACGCTGAACTGTGACTGGGCAGTGAGTGGTGTCCGAGAGCAGTGTTGAGGCCACAGTCTTGCCAGCTGAGAGAATCCGTTGTCGGCCCTTGAGCAGCGCTCTGTGCTACGCGGTATGTGCAGAGCTGGCACGGTGTTATCATTCTCTAACACGTCCCCTTGTCCTCTCTCCTTCCCCCTATTGCATCCCTTCCATGCCCCACCCTCTCCCCCTCATCTCCATTGCGTCTCTCCCATGTGTTCTCCACTTCTATCGCGCTCTTCCCACGTGCAGGCCTTGCAGTGCTGCCAACCATGTCAGGCGGCCGATTCGAAGTCATGTTCTCTGGCTCAATGGCAGGAGGAGCCAGAATCCGGATTGCCAATGCCACGTGAGTCCATCATATTTTATCTTCTAACATGGGATGGTGAGACTAAGCGAGGCTAGGAGGTGGTTGGCAAGGAGACAGTGGGGGGAGTGAGAAGTCTGATCAAAGCAGGTAAATCATCCCATCAGCGCGGCACTACCTATCCCCGCTCTTACCGTACCCTCCCCTTGTCACTCCCATGAGCTTGGATAAGATATCCTAATGTATGACTTTGTCAATGCTCATTGTCTTTGACCCGGCATGGCATGCAGCGACACCAAGGTCACCTTGGAGGTGCACCTGGTCTTCACCAATGGCGTTACCACCGAGTCCACTGTCTCCCTCATGGGCAACGTCGGCGCTCAATTTTTTGCCCCACTCGCCCTCGAGTGCCCATTCACATCGGATATTGAGGGCGTCTTTGCTTGCGCCAAGACTATAGACGTGGACATTCCTGCGGGAACTGCTGCCGACACGGGAACTGCTGCCGACGCGGAAACTGCTGCTGAGCCAAATGTCCCGAGTCTGCAGGATTTCATGGGTGCGCTGGTGGGAGCTACCATGTCAGGTGATTATCAGTCGACACTTTTCAATCTGGTAGTGAATGACCAATCAGCGGCTCTTTACTATGCTTTGTGATTGTTCTATTTGATCTGTGTGTGTGCATGGTTGTGCGTCAAGTGGTTGTGGAGTAACTACATATGTGGATGGCAGGCAGGATAGGAACGGGTAATAGCAGGGAAGGGGAGAATCTGTTGTATGTAAAATAGTGAATGGCTCTACTCATTGATGAAATGATGCAGTTGAAACACATCGTAAGTGGTACTTCAAACTATCATGTTAGAGTAGGTAGCTAGGAATGGAAGAGACTATCGAGAGAGTTTGGTACAAGTGAAAACCCTAAGGGGTTGGACCCTACATTGGCTACCCCACTACAGCCTACATAATCTAGCATAACATATACAGTTTGACACACCCCCATAGGCAAAGTGGGGGAGAACAAGGGGTCACAAGACCAGTCAGGAAAAGCAATGCATGCTCAGGATGGATCACAACGTCACCACACACTCCAAGCACAAGCAAAGGAGCCACAAGGCCAGTTCACATGCAGAGGTATATATGCAACAACAACATTATAGTGATCACTACCTAGCAAAAGTAAGCATGCACGTATATATATATATCACAGTACAACCAGAGTCTACAGCAAGTGAGGAAACGTAGGCACCAGGCCTAGAGCAGTGCAGAAGCGCTGATGATCACCAGCCGGAAGGGCCTTGGTGAACACATCAGCCGTGTTGGCCTGGGTGGGCACGTGAGCGACACGAAGCTGACCACGCTGCTGCAACTCTCGAGCAAGGAAGTAACGAAGAGCGATGTGCTTCATTCTGTGCTCCAGTTTGTGGTCCTGACACAAGTCAATGGCAGCCTTGTTGTCGACGTACAGAACTGGAGGAGAACGAGGCCTCTCTCCCAAGTCGGTCAGCAGGTAGGTGAGCCAGCGTAGCTCCTGTGCAGCCATGGCTGTGGCGTAGATCTCAGCCTCACAACTGGGGCTGAGAATAGAAGACGAGCGTGTAGACCGCCAAGAAACAGAGCCAAAGCCAAGGTTGAACGTGTAACCCTGTGACGACCGTTGCGTAGCCAGGTCGTCAACCTAAGAAGCGTCTGAGTGTCCAGTGAGGACAACTGAGCTCCGCCCTCCAAGCACGAGCCCCATGCCCGATGTACTGCACAAGTAGCGCAGTACCCTCTTCGCAGCATCGAAGTGCACCTTTCGGTGCCTACCAGGAGCCACGTAGCGTGCCAGAAGGCCAAGAGGGTACGCGAGGTCAGGATGAGTGCAGGTCATCAGGTACACGAGGCAGCCCACTAGCTCTAAGAATGGGCCACTCGGCTCTACGGACTCGTCCGAAGGTGGAGCTGAGAGTGAGTGACCGGTAGCCAGAGGAGTGGACTGTGGCGAGGACCAAGTGAAGACGAAGCGCTGAAGGACCTGCTGCACCATGTGTGACCGAGTCAGTGTGATGGTGCGCCGTGCTCTGTCCCGGGTGATCTGCAGGCCAAGGTAGCTGCGCAGCTCACCCAGGTCTGTGCACATGTGTCTCTTCTGCATCTCCGACTTCACAAGGGCGAGAGCCTCAGTGTCAGCAGTGGCAAAGACCAAGTCGTCGACGTACACGAGGATGTAGAATGGCGGCAACGAAGTGTCGGTGCGCAGAAACAGCGACGGGTCAGTAGTGGAAGGTGCAAACCCAAGAGCCGCAAGTGTCGTCCTCAGTGTGTCGTGCCACTCACGAGGTGCCTGACGGAGACCGTAGACCGGCCGGCGGAGGCTCCACTAAGTACCAGGAGGGAACGACCCAGTGAAGCCAGGTGGGTGGCGCAGCCAGATCTCCTCGTGCAGGCTGCCCTGTAAGAAGGCTGTGCTGAAGTCCAGAGAGTGAAGCTCGTAGTCACGCTGAGTGGCGACGTGCAGCAGTACCCGAAGAGTGGTCATCTTCGGGGTGGGGGAGAAGGTCTGGAAGAAGTCAACTCCCTTTCGCTGACTGAAGCCTTGTGCAACGTAACGAGCCTTGAAGACAGGCGGAGAACCCGGCGGCCGCTTCACCCTGAAAATTCACATGCCATCGACTACGTTCGCCCCAGGAGGGGGAACTGCGTCGACGTAAGTGCCTGTGGACTTCCAGGATGCCATCTCTGCGTCCATGGCTGTCTGCCACTGAGAGGAGTACTCATCCGCGATCGCCTCAGCGTAAGAGCGCGGGGTCGGGATGTCTGGAGCATCCGGGTCTCCCTCAGGGGCAAGCAGCATGGCCACGAGATGAGGCGCAGCGGCTGCAAGACACTCAAAGTCCTCCTGCCTGTCCTCAAGGACGTCCGTGCCAAGAGCACACTCACCCCCGACGGATGGAGGACAGACAGACTCAGACTCAGCAACAAGACTAGCAGCAAAGTCTAGACGACAGGCAGCAGCAAAATCAACAAGCTCAGAAACTAAGGCAGACGCAGCAGCAGACTCAAACGACAGGTCAATGACAACAGTGGCTAGCAGATGCGTGACTGTAGGTTGAGCAGCACGAACCAGGTCAGACTCAGGGTCCTGAACGTCAGGCAGAGAAGACGCAGGAGGAGACGGCAGAGGGACACGCTGTGGAACGGAGGAAGGACGAAGTGCCATAGTGTGCGTGCCGGGGAAAGGAGGAGGACGCTCACGAGGAACACGACGACCAGTGCGACCAGCGCGAACAGGCTAGGCAGGACGAGACACAGGCGCACGACGCTCTGTAAGCGAGTTTGGCTGCTCAGTGTAAGGAGAAGGAGCAGGCAGTGGTGCGCCGGGCTGTAACGGGAGGCCAGTAGAAGACGGGAGGCTAAGAACCTGGCGAAGGAGGGAGTCAGGCGGTGGCAGAGACGGCTGTGACGGCGGAGCGAAAAACAGTCGCGGCGGTCCAGTGCCACCAGTACCAGTAGCTCCAGCGCCTCCAGCAGCTCCAGAACCTCCAGCTCCGGCGCCTCCAGCAGCTCCAGAACCTCCAGCAGCAGCATCTCCAGCTCCAGTGCCTACAGCAGCAGCACCTCCAGCTCCAGCGCCTCCAGCAGCAGAACCTCCAGCTCCAGTGCCTCCAGTAGCAGCACCTCCAGCTCCAGCGCCTCCAGCAGCAGCACCTCCAGCTCTATTGCCTCCAGCAGCAGCACCTCCAGCTCCAGCGCCTCCAGCAGCAGCACCTCCAGCTCCAGCGCCACCAGTAGCAGCACCCCCAGAACCGGCACCTCTAACCCCAGGGTCTCCAGCAGCAGCACCCCCAGAGTCGACACCTCCAGCTCCAGGAGCAGCACCAGTCCCGGCAGCTCCAGTACCTCCAGTACGAGCACCTCCAGGACCAGAGACACCAGCACCCCCAGTACCTCCACGACAAGAAGCTCCAGCAGCACAACTCCTCAGGCGGGTACGCGACGCAAGCCACTGTCGTGCCTGCTGTGGTGAGAGAGGCCCGCGTCGGGAAACGAGACTGAGAGGAACGCCAGCAGACTCGGCACCCCCCGACCCGGCACCCTCCGGCTCAGCACCCCCAGGTTCCGCACTCGTAGGCGCAGTACCCCCAGGCTCCGCACCCCCCAGCACCTCACGACAGGCTCAGCACCCCCAGGCTCCGCAGCCGCAAGCTCAGCACCCCCAGGCTCCGCACTCCCCAGCACCTCACGCACAGGCTCAGCACCCCCAGACGCAGCACCCCCAGCAGCACCTCCCGCAGCAGCACCTGAGTCGCTAGTGACCTCTACAGGCTCAGCCAAGGGGGGCGGGTCTACCTGAGACACACCTGAAGGAGCAGGACCCTGAGGGGGGAGGGGGTCTACCGGAGGGGGACCTGGAGCGAGGAAAAGCGGCGGGGGAGGGAGAGGGGCAGTGCGGTAGGGGAAGAGGCGATAGAAAGGAACCGACTCGTCAAAGGTGACGTCCTGAGAGGGCAGGACACGGCGCGAGGTGGGATGGTAAAACTGCCAGCCAGGCGCGTCAGGGACAAAGCCAAGGAAGACACAGGGAATGGTGCGAGAGGAGAGCTTGTCCGCGGACGTATCGCGGACAAGGGCACGAGCACCCCAAACCCGGAAACGCGACTCATCGCCAACCTCCCCCGTCCAACGCAGTGTGGGCGAGGTCTCCGGCAAGGAGACACGGGGCCAGAGGTTGAGCTGCTGCGCGGCGTACCGGACCGCGAACGGCCACAGAAAAAGGGGAGCCGCCGCATGGATAAAAAAGGTACGCGCGATCTCCATGACCTAGCCAATGCGGCGCTCAACAACCCCATTTTGCTGCGGTGAGCCCTCCCCTTGACAGAAGGCCCGCAAGAGGTCGGAGGTGAACTCACCACCTCTGTCAGAGTGCAGACGCAGGACAGGCAGGTCCTAGCGGAACCTGCGGCGGAGCTGGAGACGAGCTGCTTGGATCCAAGGGATCAGGATAGTAGGGACCTCACCCTTGGTGCGCAAGGGGAAGACCGTGGTGTAACACGAGTAGTCGTCGACAACCAGCAGAAAGTACCGCTCACCGCCCTGTCCACGAACGCGGGCTGGGCCCCACACGTCCAGGTGGAGGGTCTGCAAAGGAGCCTCTGTCGGGGGAAACGAGGAGGAGTGAGGAGCGGCGCGTTGCCGCCCCTCGACGCAAGGAATGCAGGGTGGCGCAGGCGAGGCAGGGAGGGGAGGGAGAGACCTGGGAAGACCAGACACAAGGAGACGACGGTGCATGCCACGGAGACGTGGCAAGGAGGGGTGACCCAGGCGGTGGTGCCAGAGAAGAGTCTGGTGCGACAGGGAGCGACACTCACAGGGGGAGGCTACCTGACCTGACGCAGACACCTGATTAGTAGCAGCTACCTGAGGAGGCGCAATCATCAGTGTGTAAAGACTCAACCCTGGCCTACGAGTAAACGTGGCCAGCTGGCGGCCGGTCTAAGAGCACGTACAGATCGCCACACGCTGCCGACCAGGGGTGAAGGTGTCAACCCCCGCATCCTGGAGGACAGCTGTGCTCACCAAGTTCGTAGAGAACGAGGGGAGGTGGAG